GGATAATGTAGGAGGGCCTCCTTCCCTTTCGCTCTCGCGTACCGCAAATATGGCTGCTTTAACGAAGCCCGCGACTATGGTGCACCATATTGTTCTCTCTGCGTCTATATATGTGTGTGCTTTTCGGTTAAACACCGACGTTCTGTCGCTCCTGTACTCAAGGAATCTCTCTCGCTGTTATCTGGAATTTTGTTGTATTTTCGACGAGTTTTCACAAAAGTACTTGAGAACGAATAAATAAAAACCGTCCAAGATTGTGCGCGCGGAACAGCAGATGGAAAATTTCCTTTAGATCGCGATATTTTGAGGCTTATATTTTTTTTCGTGTCGTTGATATATCGATAATACGTTACCGAAGAGAGAATGAACGAATGTGACATTCGTCACGGGAAACGGTTGTTCGTCGAGAAAGCGAAGTGACAAGCCAATGTCCTCGGGACGAGTTTCTCAAGTCGAAATGACAAATTTTCGACGATTTGACGGCAGTCCGGAGGAAGAGAATCTTTCCCGCGACGTTGCCAGCGGAATAGTAAATAAGTTCGTCAGGGGGTAAGGCGGAACATTATTTATGAGGATGTAATTTAATAATCGAAAGATGAACAGGGAGATACCCGCGGCGACGCCGGCCGGAAAGCCGAAAGTGGCATGAAAGTAGCAACCATCCTATTGGCCAACCCCTCTGTGTGTATCTTTCTGTGTCCTCCAGAAGAACTGTCAGCCATATGGCCTGGACCGCTCCTGCGCCGTCACCTCGCGGGAGATTCCGGGGGTGCGAAATGATATGGAAGTAATGGAGAGCAAAGCGTAGCCGGTTGCGCCTCGACAGTAGATTGAGTCGCGCGATAGAAGCGGAGCGACGCCGCTTCGTGCGAGAGAGCGATGACAGATTGATACAATTCCGACGAGATTCAACGCGACAGATTTTCTGCCAACTGTTGTCGTCTTGTCGATCATTACGCCGAATTAAAGCTGAGAACATTATCGAATCTGCGTGTCCCCGATCGTCGATCTCTTATCTCAAATGGGGATCTTGCTGTCTGTTGCAGACTCGCTCGACTAATGAGTAAATTAATTTATCAAAATATTTATCACACACGTCTCAACTTAAATAAAATTAATACATTAAAATATTAAACGCACCGTAATTTACATAAGACACCGTGATAAAATAATAATTAATAAGTTAATAAAATTTTAGGAAAAAAAGCCTCCGTAATTAAATCCAGAACAGAATGAAATCCAGAGTATAAAAGGTCACCAATAAGGGTCAAAGGTCAACAGAAAGATAGACTAGCATACGTAAAATCTTATTATAATGGAAACAGCAAACTCGTTCATTGAAAATTATAACAAAGACATTGTTATAATAATGACTGTTAAAAATAATGAAAATTAGCAACTGGAAAAATATTCAAGTTTCGAAAAGATTTAACGCGCTTCAAATGTGACCTTGATCACTGTCCGAGCGTCTTCGATGTCGGAACAAGAGGAAGTTAAGGGATCAGTGGCTTCTTCCCTAGATATCGACTCTACCGTAGCTTGCGGCTTGCTGGGGCGAACGCGAGAGGCACGCGAGAACGTGATGTCGAGGGCTGTGTCGAGGAAACGAGAAGAAGAAGGTTGTGAACCGGCGTAAAGCTCTCGGGCAAACCTCGTTCCTTATCGATCTGCTCCTGAGACTCCTCCGACTAAGAAGAAGGGAGAGAGAAAGGGATCGACACCAAGAGAGTAAACGACAGGGAGAAAGAGAGAGAGAGAGAGAGAGTGGTTTGAGAGAGGGGTGAGAGACTTGCGGGTTTGTGTACGTGTAAGATAGATCTCGGTAGAGAGCCGCCTACTCGACCGTGACTCCGCAGCCGAAGCCCGAGCCTATCAATATTTTCTGCCGAAATTCACCGTAGCTCTCTTTTGGCAATTCTTCTTTCTTTATACTCTTCTTTCTATAAACTCGCTCTCCTTTTTCGGCTTTGACTTTGTTCTCCTCGATATTGTCGTTCTCAAAACACGGCGTTTTTTCCACTTTCGCGACTATTACATGCGAAATCTGTGCATTTTATATAATTTTCAATCTTGCTTTCTCTCGTTAACTGTGCGTGGGCGCACAGTTCTTTTTTTTTTTTTTTTTTATACACATTCAAACGCGACTTCCGATTAATACTCTTCCGATCCGTTAAATCCGCATCAAATGAATCGACAACACGAAACTCCTTTCAGCGAAGGAAAAGTGTCGCTGTAAAAACCACGCGCAGGAAACGTTCCTTTTTAATCAAGACGCGATTCCTAAAGAGCGCGCGAAGGCGAAATAATAAGGGAAGAAGAAGTCGCTGCGTCGGCGTCTTTAACGAATAAAGAAGAGGGGCTCGCGGAACTGTTAGCGTTCCGCTTTTCTCTCACTTTTTCACTTGTTTTTCCGCTCTTCTCAATCCTGTCTCATATACGGGACATATAACTGTTATTTTTCGCAAAAGCCACTCCATTATTTCGCTCTCTTCTCTCGTCCGTCGTTTTTAGCTTGCGCTCGCGCGAGTTCCACGCCGCTCTCTTCTTTTCTGCCATCTCTCTTTCCGATTTTCTCGTACCGCGCTCGCAGACGGTCTCATTTCGAAGTGCTCGGACAAAGCAGAACAATACATTATATTAGCTGTATCATTATTTCTCCATCCCGCGAGAGCTACATCGAAGCCAGAAAAACTGGGACATACTCATAATGGGAGAAATCACCGTCGCGCTGATGCAGTTTTCTGTTTCTTCGCGGTTCAAATCTCGCTCGATATCGAGATCCATTTGTTTTTTTGTTTTTGTCGACTACAAAAACTTTCGGCTGTGTGCCAAAAAGAAATTCGTCGAAAGCAGAATTTGATTAAGTTGACATTTTTTCTCTCACGATTTGATATTGGTTTTCGTCTTTACACGTCTCTTCCCGTCTTATTGTACATAATATGTACAAAAGCTTACATACTAGACAAAGTCAATCTTCAACGTCAATCTTCACGCGTAGCGATACTGTTCGATCTTACTTTCTCTTCTCCAAAATGCATCGTCATTTCGATGAATTCCACGCGCCCGTTGGACGGAGAAACTGTTTGCTCGAACATCCGGTGAAGAATGTACAATCTTCCAAAATCTTTCTTGTTATCAAATCGTGACGCACAATTAGACTGCGCGCCGCGTATGTGGCCATTTTCCGAAACATATGCGCGTTTCCGCATGCCGAATCATCGAGCGAAAATGCATTTACCTTCATCGAATGGGTAAGGCGGACGGTTACGTGGGGGTTGGATGTAGTACGTGAGTGGGTGATGGTACGTTGAATGGGCGCATGTAGATAGTGAGCGAGTAGCTAGGTAGGTAGGTAGGTAGGTAGGTAGGTAGGTAAGTATCCGCGGGGTAAGTTTTTCCAGGCGATCTGCTCTCCGGATTCAGATCAATACCCACCATCTGGGCCTCGAGAGTTGGAGGGATAGGGACAAGGAGGAAAAGGAGTCGCAAGAGGGAGACTCGCGTACCGCGAGAGGAGGTAAGAGAAGGAACGCGGCTAGAAGTTAGAAGAGAGAGAGCGTGAGCATACCGGAGGTGGAGAAGTCACTCGAGCAACAAGCCAACCGCCGCCGCACCCTCAACTGCAATCCTAGACACATCGAAAGTCTTGGCCAGAAAATAATTCCTGTACGTACATACGCCCACGTTTCACGCTGTCGTGAGCGCGCGCGACGCGTAAAAGAATCGAAATATGTTTCGCGCCTTCCGCGAGATTCCACGCCTCTCGCATTTTGTGCACAGAGAGGAAGAGAGCGAGCGACTTCGATGAAAAATATTCATGTTATGAAAAACAAAAACGTTAATTAATTACTCTCAATTTCGATGCGCGATTTATGCGAATTTATTAAAAATCTCTCTTTCTGTTGTGTGGCGCAACACTTGCCTTGCGGAATGTACGTACACGGGTTGAGCTCCAATTACCGTGAGCAAAACCTCATGGAACGCAAAGAAAGAAAATAAACGGATATGTTAAACTCACCGAATCGGTGGGGGGAGGGAGAGGAAATCTTGACGACGACGAAAAGTTGCGATAAAAGAAACCGTTGCAAGCCTAATTGCGTCGCGCTGATCCCTCGACGCAAAATTTAAATAAAGCGGCCGCGCGCGTAGTACTTACATCGTTACGTGGGCACTAACTCATTTGCGTGCGTTTCCATTAGCGGCTGCGGGCCGCGGAAATAGCGTTAGTGGATTTCACTTGCTGGCAATTCGATTCGCATTACACTCCATTTCATTATCGGACGAGTGTGTGTGTGTGTGTAGGAAACGCGAGCGCGAGAGACGATGAGATCCCGGAGAGACGGCCCTTGTGAACCAGGCGGGAGATAAGGTCTTAAGTAGCGACTGATTAAATCTCGGGACATATGCGAGCCGATCAATGGTACCCCAGTGTCTCTCTTCTGTGTTCTCTCTATATCTTTCTTCTCTCTCTTCTCGTCCTCCCTTGCATTCTTTCTCCCGCTGTGTATCCTTGTGTAGTCTCTCTATTGGTCAAAAGGGGAACGAGTCGTTTCAGTTTGTGTGCGGTGCTGATACGCTGTAATGCTGTCCCGCGGGAACTCACTCCCTACCGATCTCGTAAAGGCGGCTCTACGTAGGTACACTCATGTACCCGGCCGGGCGACGCAAAAACACTTGAATTAATCGGCCGGTCCCGGAGGAACCTGCGAAAGGTCAATGGGAGCGGGGTGACGGGCCCGGATGCGCACTTATCTCGATGCACATGCGAATGGGGTGCACGCGAATTCTACGCACGATAACCGATCGCGCCCTATTGCGAGGTGATTGGTTGCGAAGCATATGTCGCGACTCCTCCGTAGTAATCGCGTCGGGAACGATGTAATTTGCTGGTTTTCGGCTGGTGATTAAACGAGAGTTGACACATTCCTCAATAAAGTGTTTTTTTGTTTTTGCTTACAAAGATATGATACAACAAGTGTCGAGGAAACATATCGGCTCACCGATTGATGGAAGAGACGGATGGCACGTTGTCCTGCGAGCAAATGCCTTCGGCCAGTAATCTATCTCTGATCTCCCACGCAAACATCGTTGGATTGTCCCTCTTGTAATTGGCGATCGCGTCGACGACCGGCGGCGTCGCGACTTTCGGCTTGGAACCTCCTATGACACCGGCCTTGAAACTACCGGTCTCGTAATACCTAGAAAATAAAACAAAACATGCGTGTGATGTCAGCGTGTAGTGTCTCGCAGTGTTCATTTTATGCGAACAATTTTTCTCGAGAAAAAAAGCTTCTCTTCTCGATCCGCGCGCTTCAATAAAGTGTAACCCGAAAGCGCGGCGCCGACAAGAGGATCGGGTCGCCAAAGTTCGCGGTTTGCCTCTCTCTTTCGCTCCATTATGGACACACGGGCGGCCGAAGAGGGGAAAAAGAGAGAGGAACAAACGTTTTTCCCGCAGTGGGCGGTCAACGTCGGAATAACGAATCGCCGTCCAGCGGCGCGTCAACGACCGGCTGTTTTAAAACAAACGGCTTCTGGCCTCCCGCTGTTGCCTCCCTCTCTCTGCCCTTCGGACCTTTCCCTCTCGCTTGCTCTTCTCCCGGGCCTCCCACCGGCGCGAGACGCGTATATATACGCATACGAGATGGGCAATCGCGATTGGCTCGCCGTGAACGCGCCCTTTGTGCGTAATTAGTTAAATAATATCTTCGCTGGTGCTTAAATTCAATTACGTTGGATAGACCGCAATAATGGTCCGCTTGTGGGCCACCTTGATGGATGTGGGTCCGCCGCCGGCGTCGGCGTCGACGTCGGCATCGGCGTCGACTCATACCCGCCGCCGCTCGGATATCTCGCCAAATTTTGCAAGCGTGTGCATACTACGTGCACATGCGTGCGCGCACGAATACCTATTATATATATATATATACATATATACGCGCGCGCTCTAGTATTAGATCTTCGCGTTTTTCGCTGAAAAACATTTGCGCGAATAAAAGCGTCGTAACAGGTTTTTTGCGTTGCATGTTACAGGAAAAGCGGGTTGGGACATCGTCGATTCGGGATTATATTTCTCTGCGATCCTTTTTTATTTCAATTTTAATTGTTGCACAGGATTGAAAGTTTTAGTTAAATTGTTTTCGTCGTATGCGATGGGAGCAATTTTAAATCGTGTACTTTTGTTGTATATTTCTATTAGAGACCTTCGATCGCGAGAAGAATAAAGATGGGTTTAAAATAAAAGTCGCGATTCAGCGCGCATGAAGAAAAAAATAAATTTAATCGATTGTCGATTCATTATTGGTCCGGTTATGTTAATCAAAGATATTTATCGCCTGTTCACACGTGACGCGCACATTGTACAATGTATGTTTTTTTTTTTAAGTGAAAAAAGCCGGCGCTTGTATACACACACAGTAGTGCTATTATCAGATTATGGTAATATTTATCAAAGTGTTATTTCCTCGCGTGATTGTCGCACAGTAAAAGTATTTGCGAACCTGTGGCTCTTGAAAGCGTTGCGCGTTCGAATAGCGTCAAGTTAGAGACACAGGTCTCTCGCCATCCTCCCCCCAAGAAATTATTACGATCATATCTCTGATGTAAAACCCCTATTCCGAACCCCAACACACATGTGGCAATGCTCGCTCTCGTGGAGTATTTCGCTCCCTCTCTCGCGTGTACCGCCTCCACCGTGAAATGGCCATTAGATCGCGCGATTTTTCAAATCGACCTTGGCGTCACCGGTGCATTATTCACCCTTGCTGCATTAATTTCGATTTAAATGGATTCGAAACAGTCTTGCGCGAAATCGAAAACGCCACCTCCGTGAAAAAATGACATTATTTACGCCCCTTATTACCGAGACCGCACGAGACATCATTTTCACGTTACTATATACAAGCACAGAATTATATAATCCGAACAAGAAACACACGCGCACACGTCTATAAATTTTACTATTAAAATATACCGTAGAAATTTGTTCGTTTCTTCAGTGCATTAACAGAACGTTTCAATTTTGGTTTCGAGTCAGTTTTCGAAAAGAAGAGAGTCACGTTTGCGCGCTATAGCGAGAGACACTTCGCGAGATTCGAATCATAACGCTTTACGTAGAGCCGGGATCCGCATACAGAATACAGAAGCAGACTCGCACAAAAGACCGGGCCGGACGACGAAACGCAACCTCCAAAGAAGAAGAGCACTTTGTGCTCGTCTGTCTCTTCGTTGCGATAACTAGAAGAGGTTTTCCGGGTAAAAGGGACTTGATTTCATGGGGTCACCAGTGTGTCAAAGTTTTCATCGCCGTCGCCGACTTTAACGAACCTTCCACCCGGAGCCGAAAGAAGAAAATCCCGGTATCCGGTCTCGTCTAAGATTCGACGAACGAAGGCGAACGGGTTAATCACGACTCGCGCCGTTCACGTCGACGACGCGTGTCGGCGTTAACGGCGTCATGTCGCGTCGCCGTTGAGAGGCTCTAAGACCGTTCACGCTGTATTTTCAGGTCATAAAGTCCGCGCGCATCACGCGGAAGAACTATGTATGTATTTAACTCAAACCGGATTCTTTCGGCTTAAGACCGCGTTTAAATTTGGCAACACCTCGGGACGCGCTGTCATCGTTCGAGCTGCTGTAACAAAATTTTGTATCGCTTGCATTTGTGCAACAAAAAAAAACACATTCCTTCATTATAATGAGAGATCCAACAGATTGATTCGTTCGAATCCTTTGATTGTTGAGATTGTCGAATTCTTTTTTCTCGTACAATGTTTGCGCGCGAAGTGAAATCCAACTGACAGATATATCGCGTCACGTGGCGCGTATTTTGTCATTGTTAATGACAAAATCTCGTTTCTGCGACTCGAATCACCAAACAGGGTTCTGAGCCTGGAGAAAGAAAGGAAACGGTAACTCTAGTAGTGGCAGTAAATAATCCAGTCGGCCTTTATTATGCTGGATTCATGAAAGAGCGCGTATATATGACGATGATATTCGGGGGACGCGGATGACATTCAGGCCATCAAAGCGGCACGAGGCCACCCGTTACGTAGCGGAGCGGGGAGTAGTCGGAGGGTGGAAAAAACATGGAAACCGCATATCGTCGCGCACCCTCGTATCGCGAGGTTGAGGGGGGTTGGTTCCTTCCTTCCGGCTTGGTCTCTCTCTCTCTTTCTTTCTCTCTCTCTCTCTCTCTCTCTCTCTCTCTCTCTCTCTCTCTNTCTCTCTCTCTCTCTCTCTCTCTCTCTCTCTCTCTCTCTCTCTCTTTCTCTCTCTCTCTCTCTCTGTCCGTGCATTTTCTCCGAGTTCGTTTGCCTTGCGATTCCAACAGCGTCTTTAATTAAATCGCATCGGAAAGAGTTGCCCGGTTTCTCTTGCTTTCCGCGTTTTTGCCTTCTCATCTCCGTTCCTTTCTTTCTCTATCTTTCGTGATTCGAATGACCTTGACCACTTCGCGGCGCGGAAATTGTGGAGTTGCGTTTGGCAAGATGAGCTTGATCCCGCTCGTAAATCACTTGTCCTTCGACCATGTTGTTTGTTTGTTATCCCGTTTTCTAAGCTTGAAATACGCAGTTTTCAGAAACAAAAAACGTTAAATTAACCACTCGTCGCGAAATCTTTATTACATTATTTATTCAAATAAGCGGGTTGCTTTTTGGAATAAAACCGTACATACAATAAAAAGTTGTATATTTAATCTTTCTAGATCAGTTTTCCAAGAACAATTGTTTTTCGAAAAATCTCGATTGTTTATTTATTATAATTATTCGGTTGAACATATTTCGGTGTAGACAACAGACTGACAACTGATATCGCTCGTCATTTTCTGTGCCGCGCCGTCGGATCGCTCGAGATCTTCAGGCGGCAGGTTGCGGTTGTAATGGATACATTATACGGGGAAGACTACAGTGTCGGTAGTATACACTCACCTCGACAATATCTTAGATACACAGCCGTGAGATACCCTGAGTTGTCTGGAAATGTCGCACGGTCGGACGCCGCTGTGCGCGAGCTCGACGATCCTCTGCCTGACTACATCCGGTAGCGGCCTTCCGTTCACAAAGACGCCGCCGAGCTGGTTGACTCCGCCGTGACCTGGAAAAATGGAAATCGATCGAACGCATTAGTCGACTGACTGGGAGATTCGATATGCTTTAAATTAGAATAATCCAATTGCAATTTTTCTCTGATTCTAAACAAAGAGAAAATAATTCGTCGATAATTAATATGAAAACAAGCTTCGAGATGTTACAATGGCGTATTATATTTCAGGTATCGTATCTTACTTGATTGATACGTACCGAATTTATAAAAAATCGACGCGTGTCAATCGTACCGTGAACGAGATTCACCGCGAAATATCATGACGTTTAGACACGGGCGTTTAATCGTGAATCAGATTTCACGCGCGTAAAATCGAGATCGTCGTTGAGGAAAAGATCGCGGAGAAAACGGATCGCGTGAACGTAAATGTAAATTTTCTCTCCAACTGTCTGTCATCATGAAATCATTCTTTGTACACTTGACAGGTGTATCATAGATTGGTGAATGTTGGTACCGTTTGCAAACGAGAGACTCTTTACTGAGAGAGCAACTTGTCCGTTACGCTTTAGTAGTTTTTCAGGCAATACGTTTGTCCGTATTGTTGTTACACTAAATATAAATTTATGCTTTCGCGCGCTTCTTGCGAATGTCGTTCCGTCGGCGAACTATCTATGCGCGACATCGAAGACAAACGCGCGTTTCTAGGATTAACACGCGTCGCGAGAGAACATTCATTATTATTAGTTTACTCTCCGCTGCCATTCTCTTGCCACTCTCGCTTTATTTTCGTGCATTAAAGCTGCCTAACGCGATAAGCGGCACTTCGGAGCCAATATCGTAATGGAGGGTTCTGCGTTGCGCGACATATGTCTCCCTGTTCGTGCCAGTGCACCGATGATTCGATGATCATCGTTGTTTTCGACAACTCCCCCTCGGACGACAATGAGTTAAATCGGCCACTGTCGCACTCTTATGGCACTTTAATCGATATTTTCTCCCCGCTTTACTTGTTCTTCTAAATACATTTTCCATCAGAAGAGATAAAAATGATCCATAACGCGCTGAATGAGCTTGGACAATTATTGCAACGTACATTCAAGTGTAGATGAAAATATTAAGAAGTGAAAATGATTAAAATACGCGACAACTCGAGTCGTTGTTATTGTGTTCGCGCGTCGTTTTCAAGAGATTTCGTAATTACAATAACGCGCGATGTTCTATGAGACGTGAACTACGACGAATTTTTTGCCGCGCGATCGTATATCGTGTCGGCTCACTCGATATGATCTCGTCGTCGCACGAAGACAATGAGGTCTCCGCGATCATTACTGGAAACGATACGCGCTTTCCGGTCGCAAATCAATTCGCTCTCGCGTTTATGGTCGCATCCCCCGCGGCGCGGCCGGTAGTCAGGGCGATAGTCGTTGGGATCCATGGTGGCATTGCCAGGGCTCCATGACTACCCTATACGCACACACGCCGTCACGCCTGCTGACCACAGCTATACGAGGGCTCTGGTCCGGCATGGACCACCCCCGAATCAACTAGCTAGTGCTACTGCTACTACGGATTCTGCTGGAACTGGTCGTCGTAGCTTATTGCCACCGCTCCGTTCCGCACTTCTAGAGAACACGCCGAATCAAGAGACGGTTTCAGTGTCCCTATTAGTTCTATCTGCATGACTGTGTTTCTATTGTCCGTTTCTATTTCTGGTTTACACTCGTTTTTATTTGCCTCATGTAAATTGGATATGCTCTTCTTGCGAGGTAAATATTTAAAAAAATTTTTTTTTTTTTATTGTCTCCAATATATCACGTAAAACTTAAATTTATTTCAATATAAGAAAACAAATTTTTGCTTCGATTTTTGCGGTCGACAATTGCAATTCAATGTAGCTACGATAAGAGAACGGAAGACTTGATAAAATTGACGAAGCGTGTCATCATTTCGATGAAACTTTTTCACGAAAGAGCATTAAGTAGCGATTTTGCACGCAATTTTTATCGATCTAAAGTAACTCGTTAAAATCAAGCTTATGTGTGAATTTGCGTCGATATTTCGATTGGCAATCGGAGAAAGCCAATTGGCATTTCTCAATCAATCGCAATTCGAGCCACCAATACAAAAAGCAGCTCGATACAAAATAAGATAACCTAGCTGATCATCGAAGTGCTACGGATTATTTCCGGACGAAGGAAGAGATTCTCATCGGTTCGAGAGTCGCTATTACATTTTCATTGCGAACGAATTTCAATATTAGAGTGTGCTAACGACATATTGAAATCTCTCATTGCGCAATTTGAAATCGTACCGACTTGATTTTCGTTACATCTCTCAGATCTTATCAGAGTTTTTGAAGATACGCGCGAATATTCGCATAAATATTTATAAGCAAAACTTTTAGAAGGAAAATTTTTGAAAATCACTAACAAAATGTCTTCCGTTAACAATTGTAATTGCAAAATTACAGTGAGGACCAAAATTATATAGTTCTAAAATAAATGTTCAAACATTTTCCGCTCATTAAAAAGGTTTGTCTGTTTATGCGACGAAAGAACACGAACAAAATCTTCTCTTTCGCTTTTGTGCGCGCTCAGAATGTAGGGATCGGTTCAGGAGAGTTCCAGAACCAATAAAATAAGACTCGGTGATACACGATCGTACGTGTGTATATATCGCGAGAGGCCAAGAACTTTGATATAGATTTCCATATAGTCACTCGATATTTCTCCGACATCGCGCTGCTTTGTTCCCGTATAACATTACACCTTGGCGTTATGTATTGCCGGAACGACCGAATACGACGGACTTTATTACTCGAACGGCTAGAAAAATATGCGCAGAAATGTAATTCGCCATGTATGTGGCGCGCGCGCGTGTTACTTGGAAATTTTATCATATATTTGGATCGATTGCATCGCGATTTAAAAGCGCGTTAATAATCTATTATGTCAATGACAAAGATCAAGAGCTGGATCTTTTGTTTATTTGGCGATTTGTAATTTCTTAACGCAAATTAATTGCGAATACCAAACTCTTAGGATAAAATTTCTAGCAAGCAAAGTTTAGGAGAAGATAAAAGCGGATGAGATGAAGTAAATAAATTTTTCTAGGATTTCGGAGAGGAGAGAGTTTCGAAACTCGCGCGGAAATCGCTCCTACGCACAGATTGCCCGTCGCAAAGATTGCGGTTTTAGGTTTTTGCCGGTACCGATACCGCTACGGTTAGCGATTGAAAGCCATTGAATTTCTTGTTTTCGCACTCTCGTTTACCCACCGATCTCGCGGATTCGCGACTCTTCCTGTTCATCTTATTTGCTCTATTTAATCGGTGCCTCAATCGCGTCGGCGAACTCGTCGAGGAGAAATCGCTCGCGATCCTGAGAGAATCGTTTTGTGTGCGAGTACACGCTGCGGTTCTTCTTGCATTAGTTATTGACATCGGTCGACAATCGCGCTTTTATTACATCGAACTCGCGCGCACCTTCGAATCGCCGCTAGAAGAAATATAAAACGCAAGAAATGGTCGGTATGTGCGCAGCAAACTGAGAGCGTCAGAAAAAACTCTCGAGCGCGAGAAAACAGTCGTGAGCGATCGTAAGGTTAGATTCTTTTTTTTTTTATATCTGGAAGTGATTAAAATCGCGTCCTTATAGAATTGTTATCCGACGCAAGTGATCTGCGAAGTGAGTTCACAACACGCTGTATATGTGAAATAACTTGTAAACTATCCGATGTAGTTTGAATTGCAATTACTTGCGAGATAAACGTATATATGGCGAGAATAATAATATCAAAGAGAGATAATATCAAGGATTGAAATGCAGCGTTATATATAACGATGAGATATTAATTTTGAAATTGTAAAATACTCCAGTTTCTCTCTCAAAAACATATACATGTAAAGAAGGCAAGAAAGCAAACAAAATATCGCCATAGATGATGTACACATTTCAGTGAGGCGTTAGAGAAAACTAACTGTGATGACCGTGACTAATGACTGATGATGTTTAACACTAGCGATAAAGTGATACGAGACTGTGTGAGTAATCTCTTACAAGTGTAATATTCCATCATGTTCTGATTGTATCGGTAGGCACTACTCAGGGTAGTGCTGAGGTCCATCGCGGCACTGCCGGGCCCGACGGCCATCGGGAGTCCAGGTGCCTGCTTCTCCCAGCCCAGGGTGGATTTTATATGCAATTATACGAAATGCATCCGAAGAACCGACGAACCTTTTTTTGACCACCGAGAAAGATCTCTCACACGCTCTTCTAGAAAAGTGGCTCTCGCCTCTTTCTAACGAGAACGGGGCAGATCAGTCGGCGACGCGGCACAATAACTGTCATCAGGAGCGTCTTTGTGCCGAACGACGGGTGGCTGCTGCGGACAACCGGTCGGCCGTCGCTTCATCTTCGTGAATCCAGCGCCGTGTCCCCGTCGGAAGAATCAATCTGATCTCACACTCGCGGGAAGACTTTCTCGAGGCGCTACTCACGCATTATTACGCGAACATTTGAGTTTGAGCATTCGGTATTTCTTGAGCGTGTAAACCTTTTTCACATGGGTTTTTTTTTTATTAATTCCCTTCCGAGAAAGAGAGAGAAAGATAGATTATTGCACTTAATCCTTGTCCGCGACGAATGTTGCTAGCTTATTGTAGCTGAAGATGTGGGCTTTTTTATAACAACAAAAAGACATATATCTTATAATACACTTTGAATAAGACAGTTACACATACGACGAGCACTTTATATTTTTATTGTTCGTCACAATCACAATCTCGTTCACTGCATCCAAGTGGTCCAGTTACAACACTCGTATTTAAAATATTTCAACGTTTCTTGCATGTGCAAATATTTTGTCGAATTGTCGAAATTCAGTTTGACGTGTCTAACATTTGATAATAAAGTTTTTTCTAATAACAACCGTGATATTACCTTTGTCCGCTCTTGTGAACAATATGTCAGGATTCTCTTTAATAAAAGTTTTGACGTGTCTAACATTTGATTATAACGCTGTCAATGTCAATGTTTGCCACTTGTATCCGA